GAGAGCATGAGAGGGAAGAGGGTCAGAGGGAGAAACAGACTCCCTGCTGAGCAGGGAGCCCGACATGGGACTCGATCCCGGGACTCCAGTATCATGACCTGAGCCGAAGGCAGTCGCTTAACCAACTGAGCCACCCAGGTGCCCATCTTCCTGTGTTTCTGTGCATGTCTTCACGTGGCGTTCTCCTTTCTATCTGTGTCCAAATTTCCTTCTTCATACAAGGACACCGGTCATTGGATCAGCACCCACCCTAATCCAGTATGACCTCACTTATAACCCCAAAGATTCTATTTCCAAATAAGGTCATAGTTACAGGAACTGGGGGTTAGGATTTGAACATATATTTGAGGCAGGGGGGGGGGGGGGGGGGAACACCATTCTGCCCCCTACAGATAATAGGAAGTAAAGATTCTAAAGAATGCAGGAATAGCCGATGTAAGAAATCACTACCCCAGCTGGGGATATAGCACTCAAGGAATAGCCTCTACCTGGGCCTCCCTGGGGTGAGATCCAGAACTTTTTGGAGAGAGCACAGAAGTTGCTGGGGTGCCGCCTCTGGTGGCACTTGCTGGAAATCAGGGAAACTTGCTGGGATGCCAGGGAAAACTGTTCACAGGAAGGTGTCTCAGAGGCACTCCAGCAGAGAACCGTCCAAGGAATATACCGGGGCGGGGGGGAGCTGCTGGCCCCGCCCGGAGCCCGCCAGGAGCCTGGCACTGGAGAAGCTGCCTGCATTTCAGAACCTGGGAGCGGGGGAACCCACTTGTACCCCAGGAGCCTGCCAATAGGGCTCACTGGAACCAGGAAGCGAACCCCTTTTTTTCTGCAATGGCTCCCCAGCTGTCTACTGACAAATTTAATGTGATGCCAGTTGGCAAAGAAAATATATTTAAAGGGCTCAGATCCTTTTCACAGAGGAGGCAAGAAGAATGAATTTGGAGCTGATAGGTAATAAATTGGCAACTGGTATAGCGACATACCATTGTTTCAGATATTAATGGACATCTCCCTTCACCCTTCTTGATTCTACTTTCCTCAACCTTCTCCCCATCTCACCATAAGCCCTATCACTTTATCATTCAGTTCTTCTACACTTGACACCTTCCTAGCATCTCTCCCTCAAAAAAAAAGAAAAAGGAGACAAAGAAAGAAAAAGGAGACAAAAAAGAAAAAGAGAGGAAAAAGAGAAAGAATGAAAGAAGAAAGAACAAAAGAAAGAAAAAGAAAGAACGAAAGAATGAAAGAGAACGAAAGAACGAAAGAAAGAACGAAAGAAAGAAAGAACGAAAGAAAGAACGAAAGAAAGAAAAAGAAAGAAAGAAAGAAAGAAAGAAAGAAAGAAAGAAAGAAAGAAAGAAAGAAAGAAAGAAAGAAAGAAAGAGACAAATACAGTACTGGTGGCAGGTGGCTCTCTAACTGGGCAAGTGGAGTTAGACCAGAGGCAGTACCAGCTTTCTCAGACCAATATAAATTCTGGCAACTCATAGTAGGTGACCAGAGTGAAAAGCCCCGAGAGGTGGGTCTTGAAAGCTCCTCACCTGGGGAATTAAATTGATCAGGAATTGCTGACACCTGGCTGGGACAAGCCCTTTAAGGGGAGAGAGCTGAAGCTGCAGGAAGTAGCAGTCAATGCCAATTTTGTATACAGAGACGAAAACTCCAACTTCCTGGGGGTAAGCACCTGTCTATCCCCAGGCACAGCATGTAGGAGGTGTTGAAATCTTGTTAAATGGCTGATGCCAACCAGACCAGCAACCCAAACTCAAAGCTTCCTGTCATTTTTCAGGGGTGGTTCTTAGTAAAGGAGCTCCAGCTGACCATCACACCCCTCCCAATACCCAACAACCCAACCCAACCTGCCCTACCCTGGCTGATCTGGAGTTCAGCCTAGAGGCTTCCGCAGACAAAGGTACTGAGCAGAGCTGGCTTGAGGGCCAGAAGGGATAGTGTACTCTGAGAGAAAGAAGAGAGAGTTTTATCATCTGCATTTTGCCTGTAACCCGAGACTTAATTTATCAGGCACATTCAGATGTGTCTTCTCATTTGATCTTGATCTTTCAAGTCGATTTTGAGATAGGCATGACAGCGTTTATTGTTCCCATTTTACAAGTGAGGCCACTGAGGCCCGGAACAGTTAAGCAGAAGTGAGGCCCAGAGTCTAAAGGGGCCCAGAGTTTCTGGAGAATGAAACATCCATGTGTCAACCTCCAGCCACATCACCTGCCCCACTGAAAGCTATGTGGGGCCTCTTGCCACTGGATCAGCACACACTGGCCATGCCCTAGAGCGTGTACACAGGTGGTGGGTAAGGTAAGAGTTGTTGAAATGGTAGTCACAAAGTAGGCAGAGGTGAGACCGTGAGGCTCTTAGGCTCACCATTAGTGGCCTGGGCATAGGGCCAAGACACCCCAGTCTACATTAGACTTCAATTTGATGAACTCCAGCACCCCAACTTAGGGTCTTAGGGCTGCGCCCTCTCTACCAAATTCTCAGGCCCAGGCCCTTTCCTTAGGCTACTTCCTTTGTCCTTCGTGTTGACTTCTTCAGGAGACCCAGAGAATCAAAACTCTCATCAGGCATGCTCTGCCCTTGAAAGCTTTTCTTGCCCTGGGGCTTAGGAAGCACCTGTTTAAGCGGAAAAGTGAGAGCCTGCAAGAGGGGCTCTCAACTCACCAAGGTTGAGAAGGTTCTCCAAGCACTCACAGCTGGAAGCATCACCATACCCCTAAGGAAACATCTTCAAGCACCATACAGCCAGCTGGGATCCAGGGGAGAGAACACCTCTAGCTGAAAGAGCTGCTGCCTACCCTCATCAGAAGTTTCATCATGGATTTCCAGAGGTCCCTGCAGGCCTTGTGTTACAAAGAGTTGGCTGTAGTCCTGGGAGAGCTTTCTGGATAAGTCCTTGCTTACAGAGCTGGGGAGGAGTCTTCACTTTCCACACCAGCTCTTACGGATTTTGCTCTTTGCATATCATCCTCTCTGTGTCATTACTTTTACCACTAAGTCCCAGAAGAGAGAATTCTGCTGGGCTGGGTACTCTGCACCTTCATCTCAGACCCAGGATTCTAGGCCTCAGGCTTTCTTGTTCCACCAAGAAAATAAGTACAGGTTTGGACCAGAGAATTCTGGCGAAGGAGAACTAGTGGAAGCGCAGGGTCTGGTTTGGCGGTGAGGATGCCTTCACAGTGCAAGAAGTTCGTGCATGCCCACTTCCTCCCCACCAGTAGCCCAGCTCCAGGTAAACGTTTCATGATACAGCCTCTCTAGTAGCGGGATTTCATCCCTGATCCCTTAATAGTAAAGACTACTACTATTACTACTACTACTATTACTAAGGACTGTTTCCCTTGAAACAGGGCTCGTGGTAGCCCGGAACAGAGAGGAAAGCTGCCGAACACCACCGAGCACGGCAAGGTGGTTATTGGTGCCCTGCAATGACGCCCCTATACTGAGCCCTCGGCGAGGGCCACACAAACCCCCACAACTCCAGGAAGAAGGTCAACGCCCCCAGCCTTCTCCCAGTTTTGGCTCAGCCCAGGCTCTCCGGGACGTCGCGCAAACACTGGGGCCGGAGGTGGCACTATCCCTAGTCTCCGGCTCCTAGTCCCGCCCCAAAATCTTCTCTGCGACGTGGGGACCCGTTCGAGGATTCCCGGAGGGTACCGGAACCGCTCTCAGTGAGGCCTCTCTAGGAAATTGGGAATTTCACATGTCGTTAGTATTCAGTTCACGTTTATTGGCCTAAGAACTAAAGAACCGGAAGATGCCCTTAAAAAACGTGGCGGCACTCTATTCACTACAGCTGCCTCAGTAGCTCAAGAAACTTGGCCTAGTGTTCAGCCGCTGACTGACTGGCCCTCAGAAAATGACACCATCCGGTCCACTTCGGTTGATCGGGGACAGAGCTACCTGCCCTCAACTGTAATGGCGGCGCTGCCCAATTTGGCTTCTTGCCCCTAGGGAAGATGGCTGCCAGGTGGCTTCACTTGGTTTCTCACCACCCCGGAAGACGGGGACCGGCGATTGGGCGGTGCCCGAGGGCTCGGAGAAGAAGGCCCTTGGCGGTTGGGCAGTGCTGGCTAAGGCTAGTTTTAAAGGAGCCGGAGGTGGGAGCCGTCGAAGACCCGGGATCCGCGGGAGGCGGCGGTGAGCGGCGCGCGGGGGAGGGCACCGAGCGGCTGGAGAGAGGGCGGGAGGAGGGAGGGAAGGAAACATTTGAACCATCTGGTCCCGGGCTGGGGAGAGCGCGGGGCGGGGAGCCGGGGAGGGGGGAAGGGGGAAGGAAGGGGTCTGTGGGCGGGACCTCCCGGGATTGGAGTGAAGGGGGTATCTGCTTGACAGTGGATCCCCGGGGATCCGGACTGAGTTCGTGATGCTCAAGCTCGGGCCGCCCCTGTCTGAGTGGAGCTTTGCGGAGCCCAAACTCACAGGGAGAGGAGGATCCTCGCGGCTTCTCATTGGAGGAACCGCGCTGTAGGATTCTTTCCGCAGGGATCTAGTCTAGGGGATCTGGTGTGGCGGGGCGGGGGGGAACCATCGGTGTGTGGGAGTATTGCTTCGGAGTTCTTGGCCACTCGCTGGCAGTGGATGAGGATTACAGAGGGATCCGGCGGAAAGTGAGCCTCCCAGGACCGGGATCCCAGCCGATCCCGGGAGATCTCAGGGCGGATTCTGCAGGGACAAAGGCCCCAGAAGCTCACTGGGGCCTCTGCAAGCCAGGTTCTCCCGGCAAGTGCCAGTCAGGGCGCGGGTGATCCACTGATCTCGGGCGACGGCAGCGGGAAGACATCCGCTCCGGGCGGCCAGCCGGGGGCGCCCTTTCACGCCCCAGGGCTTCGGCCCGTGGGCTACCGGGAGCCGCGGGCGGACCATGAAGGGCGGAGCCCCAGGGGAGGGGCTGGCCCTCACTCCCCGCTCCCCCGCTCCCCCCCCATCCCAGGCTGCCGCCTGGGATCCCCCAGGGACTCCCCGGAGCCGCCGCTTCCCCCATGGACTTGCCCGGGGACTCCAGGTGAGAGCGCACCCCGCCCGCCTGTCTTGAGCACGGGAAACGGGGAGCCTAGCGGCCGTACCGGGGAAACCACAGAGCCAACGACAGGCTCAGGCGACCGTCCTCTGCTTCTCTCATCCTCCAGTCCACCTGGCCGGCCACGTCTGTGCCGCCAGCCTCTGGCTCGAGCATTATGGGGAGCCAGGAGCCCCAAACGGCCGAGACTGCAGTCTCTAGCGGCCCCTTCACCTTTGGAAAAGGCCTCTCGGCGGGTTTTGGCTGTGGTGCTGGAAGATGTTATGGCTGCCCACATGGTGAGCCCCCCGAACTGAGAGGCCCCCCTTCTCCCTGAGGTCCCCTCTTCAATACCAAAGTCAGACCAGATCACTAGTGAGGATAATTGAGATCCAAATACCTCATTCTCACACCCATTGCTAGGCAGCCTCCCTAATGCTAGAGTCCTACTTGGTTCTCACTTAATCCAATCTAGATTTGGGCAGGGTCTCTAGTGCCCATTCCCCACCATCAACCCTGTTGGGCTGGAACCACATCTCTACAACTCTTAAGTATGAGAAACCCTTGCTTTCTTCCCAACCCAACGTCTAGGCAATTCTTGGGAAGCAGGCTGAGGTCTTTGGCTCCATTGCATAGGTTAGAAAAACGGGCCCCAAGGGCGCCTGGGTGCCTTCAGTCATTAAGCGTCTGCCTTCGGCTCAGGTCATGATCCCAGGGTCCTGGGATCGAGTCCCACATCGGGCTCCCTGCTCAGCAGGAAGCCTGCTTCTCCCTCTCCCACTCCCCCTGCTTGTGTTCCTGCTCTCGCTGTCTCTCTCTGTCAAATAAATAAATAAAATCTTCAAAAAAAAAAAAAAGAAAAACAGGCCCCAAATAGGGCAGTGACTCACCCAAGGTCACTCCTTTTTCATTTCTCCAAACAGCCTAGCTGAGATTACTGCTGCCCAGGATGCTGTAATATCTGGCCCTGAGACTGATTCAGTCCAGCGCACTTCTTTGGGTTCTCAAGTGAATTCTAGCCGTAATCTCTGTCACTTTTGTGGCATACGGCACTATTAGGCTCAGGGAGGTCCTGTCCAGTCTGACCTCATTTCATCACCTTGCTCTTGACACTTCCTCCTCAATTAGGTTCCCCTGGTGCCCCAAGAAGAGACCCGCACCCCACGGCACCGCAGCAACCAACGGGATTCTGTCTGCAGCCAGCCACCTGCCTCGCCACCCCAACAGGCCACGTGGTCCTCACAGACCAGGTGAGCATGGCGGGATGGAGGGTAAACTAGAGGCATACCGGAGCCCCACTGATCTTCCTGTTTCCCGTCTAGGCCTCCCGAGCCACTGGACCCACTGCGCTTATGCCGAGAGCCCCTGAGCCGCATCCACCGGCCCTCTTCTACCCTGAGGCGGCGATCAAGGACAACCCCTGGCCCAGAGGAGGGCCCTTCACAAAAGGTGGACTGGACCCCCCAGCCCACTCTGGTGGTGATGCTAGAAGACATTGCCAGCCCAAGACCCCCAGCTGAGGTATGAGAATTTGGGGGTAAGGATGTCAGGGGTTCAGCTGGGATGAGTTTTGCTCAAGCAAGGAGAACAGCATTTTAGATGGAAGACGCTGAGGAAAGACCTATATGAAAAAGTCTTTGGTGTGAACCCTGGCAGGCTTCTGGACACTTGAGAGGGTCAGAATGTGGGGAGCTAGGGAGGCCGTAGGCGGCTTCCCTGCCTCCCCCAGAACATCCTTTGTTTACATCCAGGGCTTTGCTGATGAGACTCGCAACTTCCTCATCCCAGCGAGAAGGTAAAAGGGCTGGGGAAGGGATTATCGAAATGTCCAGGCAGCTAGAGCTAAGGGCATCAGAATTTACTTGTCCAGTCCTTGCCTGTAGCACCTTCTGAAGCTTTAAGGGACAGGGGAGGTGCTGGCTCAGGTGGGATCTGAACCTGGGAGCTCCCTCAGCATTTACTTTGCCCCTTCACCCCAGAGCTGAGCCCATGACGATTGTTCACCAGTCAATGCCTCCGTCCAGGGACCTGGATCCCCCATTCCAGCCATCTGCCCTGCCTGAAGACCCTCCAGAGACCCCACCACCAGGTAAGGACTCAGAGGGATGAGATTTAGGGCTCTGAAAAATCCTGGCTGAGCTTAAAAGGGGCAGGGGCAGGGCAGAGGCGGGGGGGTGAGGCTTATCTCCCTCCCTGAGGGCAGTTTGGTGTGTGAAGTTGGGGTATAGACTTCACAGGCCTAATGTTCAACTCCTAAATTTAGGGCTTGGTATTGTAGGTGTGGGCTTCTACCTCTGTGGGCAAAGCTTAGTGTTAGGGGGAGGGGCTGAGGCTACTGAAGTAGGGCTTAGGCACTTGCAGCCGAGGAATGCCCACCTGAGCCTCTCCTTTTCCTCAGCCCGGGAGCCTCTACTGGAGCCCCCATCGATCCCACCGCCGTCCAGCCTTTTACGCCCCCGCCTCAGTCCCTGGGGCTTGGCCCCCCTCTTCCGTTCCGTCCGCTCCAAGCTGGAGAGCTTTGCTGATATCTTCCTCACACCCAACAAAGCCCCACGGCCCCCACCCCCATCACCCCCCATGAAGTTGGAGTTGAAGATTGCCATTTCAGAGGCCGAGCAGTCCGGGGCTACTGAGGACACTGCGTCTGTCAGTCCCCGGCCCCCTATCCGCCAGTGGCGGGCCCAAGACCACAATCCCCCCGCCCCTCTGTCTAAGCCCTCTCTGGGCCGAAGCCACTCCTGCCCTGATCTGGGGCCCCCTGGCCCAGATACCTGCAGCTGGCCCCCTGCTCCACACCAACCAAGCCGGTCACGGCCCCGGCGGCACACTGTGGGTGGTGGAGAGATGGCCCGAGCCCCACCACCCCCTCGGCCCTGTCTCCGGAAAGAGGTCTTCCCTCTTGGAGGAGTGGGAGGCTCTCCTCCCCTTGTCACATCTTGCTCGTCCACCGCATCTTCTTCCTCCTTCTCTGAACCTGCAGAACCCAGGTAGTGCTCTCGATAAACCCTTCTCTTTTTTTTTTTAAAAGATTTTATTAATTTATTTGAGAGAGCGAGCGAGCGAGCACGTGCACAAGTGGGGGGGAGGGCGAGGCAGGCTCCCCGCTGAGCAGGGAGCCCGACGTGGGGCTCGATCCCAGGACCCCGAGATCATGACCTGAGCCGAAGGCAGACGCTTAACTGACTGAGTGAGCCACCCAGGCGCCCCTCGATAAACCCTTCTTAAAGCCCTTGCACAGTCTGGGCTCAGCCTCCTTCCCTGTTATCCAGTGGGCAGGAGATGGGGATATTGCTATAAATGTTATTTGTCCCTGAACCTTGACCTTCTCTGCAGGTTGGGTTCAACCAAGGGGAAGGAGCCAAGGGCCTCAGAGGACCAGGTGCTTTCAGACCCTGAGACCAAGGTAGGAGTACAGATGGGGGGAGGAGACAGGTGGGAGCCTGAGGCCATGCTGCACCCTTATCCTTTGCCCTATTTTTGCAGACCATGGGAAAAGTTTCTCGATTCAGAATACGCAGGACACCAGCCCGTTCTCAGCTCAACCTTACACCAATGGGGCTGCCTCGACCAATCAGGTGAGTGGCTCAGTGTACACGGAGCTGCCTTGGCCAGACAGGTTGTAGGCTCAGATCCCCTGAAGTGTGGCTTTGTCTTCTCTCAGGGAACACAATCCAGCTTGGAGGAGTCAATCTGGTCTGGACATGGTTTGCACTTAGAACTATCTGTCTGCCTTAGGCAGCGCTCCTGGCCGTAGCGTGTCCCAGAAACTGAAATATAGACCAGGCCTTGCTTATCCTTTTTCCAGGGTACGATGGCCCTGGGTTTTTCAATGGCCTCTGCTCTTTGCTCCCAGGTTGAACAAGAAGGAGTTCAGCTTAGAAGAAATTTACACCAACAAGAATTATCAGTCGCCTACAACCAGGAGGTGAGAAACTTTGAAGGCTTGGGGGTGATAGAGGGAAGGCTGGAACCAGGAGCCATGCTGGTAACCAGCACCCCTCCCTGCCTGGTCCAGGACCTTTGAGACCATCTTTGAGGAACCCCGGGAGCGCAACGGGACTTTGATTTTCACCAGCTCAAAGAAGCTTCGGCGGGCTGTAGAATTTCGGGACAGCAGCCTTCCTCGATCCCGGCGGCCCTCTCGTGGGGTCCGGGCTGCAGCTGGCAGGACCCTTACCCCCAGCCTGGCCCCCAGCCCAGATGTGGGACCTCTGCTGCAGCAGCGGCTGGAGGAGCTGGATGCCTCACTCCTGGAAGAGGAGGAAGTGGATGGGGAGCGGCCCCATCGGACCTAGGAGCTCCATCTGTTTGTTCATCCGTCCTGAAGCATCTGGGGCAGTTATATATTTTTCTCTATATTTCTAGTAAAGTTTTCGATATGTTTCTGATCCTTTTGTTACGTCTCTAGCTGAGTTTGAGATTGACCGTACTGCCTGATGTTTCTACTTTGGCCCCCAAAGACTGGGAAATGGGGGAGGTGCCAGGGAAGACAATGAGGGTTGGATACAGGAAGAAGTGGGGGAATGGTCATCGGAGCTACTTCCTTGATTTGAGAATTTTCCTGTGTGGAGGGATACTTCGGAACCTGCTTCAGAAGATATTGTGACCCTGGACCCTGCTCAGGGTTCTCTAAATTCACTTACAGCAAGGAGGAGACTGAGGGACCCAGAGTGGACCAAGGCCTTGATCAAGATGGCTCTGAAATCCTCCTAATACATGCAGGCCAGGACTTGCTTCAGGATTCAAGAGATAAAAGTAATCAGCTATAATTGAGCACCTCCAACAACCTGTCATATGTACTTGACTTGCACATAACCCTGTGAAAGGGAATTATACCCATTTTACACATAAGAAAGCAAGTTGAGGGGCGCCTGGCTGGCTCAGTTGGTGGAGCACACAACTCTTGATCTCGGGGTATCATGAGTTCAAGCCCCACGTTGGGTGTAGAGATTTCTTAAAAAAAAAAAAAAAGCAAGCAAGTTGAGTGTTATAATGTAATGTCCTCATTAAAACGGTAACCCAGGCAACCAGAGGCCGGAAGTGGCGTTCTCCCATCTTTTTGAAATTTAGAGGCAGAATAGAGCAGTGGCTAAGAGCACAAACTGTGGAGTTAGGCTTGAGTCCAAACCCTGTGTAGGAAACTGTGCATCAATTCCCCTCCCTCTCTGTAAAATGGGGCTAATAGCAGTACCTTCCTAAAAGAATTCTTACTGCCAAGTGAGTTAACATGTGAGAAAAGTAGCCGGCGCACGAACGCACGGTGTTTTTTTCCTTATTAGCACGCGGACACCACAAGCCAACACTCTCCCATTGAAGGGAGCGATAACGGGACGCAGTTTCCTTCCCAGCGCGTCTGGCGCTCGCAAGGCACGCCGCGTGCTCGGGCAGGCCGGCACCGCGGGGGATCCCACTGAGCTGCCAGGCGCTCGACAGTAGCACCACGCGCGTGCGCGAGAAGCCAGGCGGCCTGTGGGCTAAGCCAGGCGGCGGAAAGGCGGAGACGACGTAACTGGCAGTCGAGAGGAACCTTCCGCGGCCACACGCCGCCAAGCGGCCAACCGCCCCCCTAGGACTCGCGCACTACATCACGACTCTTACTCTCGGCGCTGTCTAAAGACGGACCAATGAAGAGAGAGCAGGAAGAGGTGGGGTCACCTGGGGGACCGCCCCAAGCGCCTACTTCTAACCAGTCGAGTCACAAGACCCTATGAGGGGCGGGGCTAATCTGACGTATACCCAATCCCAGATTTGAGGGCGGTTACATATTACCCACTCCCCGGAGCTTGACTCCGCCCTTCGCCTTGTCGTACACTTCTCAACCTATCAACGACTAAGCTGTGGAAGGGCGAGGGGAAGGGGGCGGAGAGTGGGAGGAGGCCGAGAGAGGAAGGAGGCGTAGGCTGAGGAGGAAGAGGGAGGAGGGGCAGGGAAGTCCTGGCGGAGAAGAGGCTCAAGACGCCAAAGGAGACAACAGGAGGGTGCGCTGGCGCTCCCCCGCCTCCCAACGGCCGTTCCGGATCCCTTACGGCGCAAGTCAGGCAGAGACGGAGGAAAGGAGGAAGAGACTTTTATGTCGGCAGACAGAGAAGCTCTACCCGTCACCGTTGCCTCACATCCGGGGCTTTGGAGGGTTGGCCCCGCGGCCCCGCCCCCCCCCCAGCCTTTCATGGCGACCGGAGGCGGAGGCTGGAAGAGCCGGGCCTGGAGGAGGCCCCTTTAAATCTCCTTAAAGGGGTGGCCGGTGAACTCGGCGACTACATCGGCAACCTTAAAGGGAAAGCCATCGAACAGAAGCTGACAAACTGAGAACTGTGCTGTTGGGAGACCTGGAGCGAGTGGGGATTCTCACCTCCTTTTCTCCCCCACGCAAGAAGTTCTTTAAACTCAGCTTAAAGGGGAAGTGGCCGCTTGGTGGAGGACCAGAAACTTAACTCCCGAGTCCTTAAAGGGGCGGCCTGCTGTTTGGAGGACCCTGGACTCCTTAAAGGGGTGGCCTCTTTTAGCCGGAGGACTGGAGACACTTTTAAAGGGGAGGTCTGCGTTTCGGGGCGAGCTTTCGGTCCCTTTTAAAGGGGTGGCCCTTCCTCTTCCTCGGGGAGACTTGTCTCGACCCCTGGCAGGGGGCGGCCACCGCACTAGGCCGGCTGGACACCATCGGGTCGTCTTAAAGGGGTCAGGGGCTGGACAACTTGAGGCCTCGCCTTAAAGGGACGGCCGCCCGGTTTTCGCCTTCTCGGCCCCGCCGGCCCCACAGGGGGGGCCCTCGGGCTTGTCGCCCCGGGGGCGGCGCCGGCTCCCCGGGCTTTGGCCTTGGGGCAAGCTCGGGGCCAGTAGATCCTGCTTTAAAGGGGAAGCCGTGGCCTTTTCGTCCCTGTGCAACCGCCAGCGCCGCGCTTGCGACCCCGGGCCTGCGGACAGGCCGCTTCGGGCCCCGCCGCCTCCGGATGCGGCGCTGAGGGCGGTCGCCATGGAGACGGCAGCGGCCGCGGCTCCGGGCCCGGGCTGGGCCGCTGAGGGGGAGCGGCGGCGGCGGCGTTGCTCGCGCCGAGACCGAGACCGGGAGCAGCGGCGCCGCCGAGGTCCCGGCGGCGATGCGCCCCGGGCCCTGTTGGCCGCTCCGCGCGGCTCCTCGTCCTCCTCGTCGCCGCCACCGCCCGCCAGGCCTTGGTCGTCAGCTTCGTCCGGAGAGCGGCCCGGAGGCCCGAGACGACGGCGGCCCCGTCCCAGGCCTCGGCCCCCGCGACCCCGAGCTCGGAAGCGGCCTGCCGGCTCGGGCAGCCGCGGGGAGGAAGAGGAGGAGGAGGAGGAGGGGGGCGCAGACGACGGGGAGGCCGAGGAGGAGCCTGAGGAGGAGGAAGAAGAGGAGGAGGATTTGATCGATGGCTTCGCCATCGCCAGCTTCGCCAGCCTTGAGGCCTTGCAGGTGGGGCCTGATGGAGCTGGGGACCTTTGGGGGCTTCAGAGGGGCGGAGAGAAGAGTATGGTGCCTGGAGTGGGTGGAGTTGAGGGGGGAATGCTGGCACCCCAAACCAGAGCAACCGGCTCCTCTGGCCAGGTCTCTGCCCCACCCTGGGGTGGGAGGAGGTAGAGTTAGTCTCCAGGGACCCGCCAGGTTACTGGGCCTGAGAGGCACTTTGGTAGCTTGGTCACCCCTAGAGAGGTCGGGAGATTGCTTTTCTCCATCTACTTTAGTCCCACCTCCTCCTCCACAGAAGGATGCATCTCTTCAGCCCCCAGAGCGACTGGAACATCGGCTGAAGCATTCTGGGAAGCGGAAGAGGGGGGGTTCCAGTGGGGCCACTGGGGAGCCAGGGGACAGCTCTGATCGGGAGCCTGGCCGGCCCTCTGGGGATCGGGCCCGAAAATGGCCCAATAAGCGGAGAAGGAAAGAGGTGAGCTTGTCATAGATCCTTGTCCTTTAAAACTCTGGACAGAACGTCCTTCACAGAGACTTGTTTTCCATCAGCAATGCTACTGCCCATCATAAACAGTGATTTTACTCTCTAATAGCAGAGAAGAAGGCAGAGCAAAATTGAGCCCTCACTCCTCAATCCAGGTCTGATAGAGAGATGCCCACAGTCAGACTTTTCCGCTTTTGGCTGGCCTTGTCTATTTCAAACACGTTGATTAATCAGAGATGTTTAGACTTAATGGAATCCTAAATTAATTACGTATGGTCTCAGATCTCTCCAGGCAATAGTAGTTTAGCAAGAAAGAAACAATCTGAGCAAATATCTAGATCAAAACCTGAGAAGCTACAGAAGGCAGAGATCTGGGAGAGATGCTGCAGAAACCCACATGAGGAAGCCACTCATTCTGCCTGGGGGATGGGAGGAGGGTTGTGGTTAGGGAAAGCCCCCTAGGATGTCTTAGTCAGGTCTTGAAGGATAGTCATAAGTTTGCTAAGAGGAGAAACGCGCAAGGTTGTTTTGAGCAAAAGCACAGAGATGTGAAAATATATTCAGAAAATGGCGAGAGCATTGGGAACAGGGGTGAGCCATAGCAGAAGCAGCTAGAAAGAGATTGAGAGTGTGTCGTGAGGGGCCTTGAGTTCCTTGCTAGAGAGTTTAGACTTTATCCAAAGGCCTCGCCAGTCAGCCTTCCTTATGTCTGGACTCTGGTCTTTCTCAGGCCTCCTCCCGTCATTCTGTGGAAGCTGGATACATAGTAAGTGCTGTCCACCTGTACTGGCCCCTCCCCTCTCAATTCCTCTCTGAAAGTCCCCTCTCTCCCTTGGGCCCCACTCTTCTTCCCTCTTGTGACACCTGTCTTTCCTTTTCCCCAGTGTGATGCAGAAAGCGATCTGGACGAGAGGGTGAGTAGGGCTAGAACTTGTTGGGTGGGCAATGTTGTAATTTGTAAAGTGAAGTCCGGTTTAGGGGTCTCCTACATGCAGCAGACAGAGCCTCCCCTTCAGTGGGGAACATAGGTTAGGTTGAGCCATGACTGGATCAGGGAGTGGGAGGGTGAGCAGATTGAATGGGTAAAAGACTTTTTTTTTTTTTTTTGGTAACTAGAGCCAGTTGACTAAAGAATAGAAAGCCCGTGCCTTGGTGTACCATCTTTTCCAAAGCCCTTGGAGATACCAGTGGTTCTCCACAGAAATTCAGGTGGCTGTCGAACTGAGCTGGTCATTCCTGCTTGCATTAGTCTGCTCTCACAGATTAGAGTCTGAGCAGAGACCACGGTTATGGCAGCGAGGACACCAAACCATGTGGTCAGTGTAAGAACGTGTCTTAGAGAAAGTTGTATTTCGGTTTATTGTTAGGTCAGATTTGCTTGTTTTGAAATAATGTGTTTTAGCAGCTTATGCTCTACCCCTGTAACAACTAAATTTGTATTCCCTGATGTGTGTCTTGTTTTAGTTTAAAAAGTTGGTTGGACAGGGACTGTGGTGAACCAGAGTTCTTGTCTGTCTAAAGGAGGTGACCACTGTCTAGTTCTAGCTAAGTGTTGCCATGCAAGAAGAGGAGCCAATTCTTAAGGGAACCTGCAAGTCTGAGTGTGAGCAATTCCTAGGTTTGTAAATATCAGCAATTAGTTTAAAAGGTTTTTGCTGACACTTGTGATCCAAACAAATCTGTAAGTCAGGTAGTCATATGGGCTAGCACTTAGCGATACCTGACATTTTGGCTTTGATGTGCGTACTTCTCTGCAACGTAAGTGCCGCCTCAGTTCAGTCCTCCTGGCCTATCAAATTCTCAGGCTCAGCTCTCCTACCCCTCTCCCCAAGCATAGGTGCCCCGAAGCCCACAGTCTTTGCTGGATTTCAGCTAAGCTGATGGAATAGACTTGCCCCCACTGCCGCTTCCTAGCAGGCTCTGGGGGCTGTTAGCCTTCCTGGGTGAGGGCCTCACCTGACCAGAACCTGACCCTGTCCCTGCCCTTCTTCCCCAGGTCTCCGATGATGACCTCGACCCATCCTTTACTGTCTCAACCAGCAAAGGTTGGTCTCAAGGGCTGGGGCTGGAGACGAGGGAGGGAAATTGGGGTAGTGTGGGCCTCAGCTGAGTACGTCTGCTGTGCTTTCCTCCCAGCCTCGGGCCCCCACGGCGCCTTCAATGGGAACTGTGAAGCAAAACTCTCCGTAGTCCCTAAAGTGTCGGGCCTGGAGCGGAGCCAGGAACAGCCCCCAGGGCCCGACCCGCTGCTAGTGCCTTTCCCCCCGAAGGAACCACCGCCTCCACCGGCCCCTCGGCCTCCTGTCTCACCCCCTGCAGCCCTGCCAGCCGCCCCCAGTCTGCCACCCCCCCCCCAGCCCCAGCTGCAGCTCCGGGTCTCGCCCTTCGGCCTCCGCACTTCTCCCTACGGCAGCAGCCTGGACCTCAGCACTGGCAGGTGGGTGGTCTGGGGTTTGGTCTGGTCTGCAAGGACCTGGCCACTTGGGCGCCAACCCCTGCATTCTGTGGCTGGGACATGGGATGGTACCTGCGGGATGTGACTTGAAAAAAGGAGTCGGAGGCTGAAAAGCTTGAGAGACACTGGGTGAAAGAACCGTCAAGTGATTACTTGCTGACAGGACTTGGCAGAACCGTTTCACCCGGCATTCCCGTGCAGGGGAGTTCACTTGGTGCCGATTCCCAACTGTATGTGCCGGTGTAGACCTTTTTGCAAGACACACCTGCTAGGAATAGTGTTCTTCAGAACATACTTTGGGAAATGCTGACATGATGATTAAGGGTGCTGGTTTTGGTGTCAGTCAGACCTGGTTTCAAATTCTTAATCCGCCACTTGCTTAGTGGCTGTGTGATTTTTGACAAGCCACTTAATCTCTCTCAGCCTCAATTTTCTCTTTCTGTAAAAAAGAAATGGTAACGGTACCTTTATTCTGGTAAAGCTATTGCGAGGATCAACGACGAGTTCATTCAGTGTTTCCCAAAGTGTGTACGTGCATCGTTACCAATATGCGAGATCATTTCAGCTGTTACGGGGGCCAGTTTTTTTTAGCTGTTAAACGAGCATTAGAAAAACACGGTTAGTACCTCAACCCTTTGATTTCACACGTGTTGCTTGGGTGAGGCTAAGTAAAAAAGCAAGAAACCGAGTTAAGTGAAAGAAGTAAACGGTATAGGTGTTTACGTGGATGCGGCAGCCGTTGGGAAGGTGGTGTGACATGGTGGACATTTGGATTAGCATGTAAAGCGGGTGCCAGCACTTGGCCTACAGTAAGTGCTCGCTAAAGGGTAAGAGTCACTGATACCATTACTATCATCGGTGCTGTTTCTAGTATCGTCATCGTTACCGTCCTTTTTCTTGTTCTTGAGAAAACTAAGGCTCAGAGAGGAGCAGTGACTTGCTCAAGGTCACCCAGGGTGTTAATGGCAAGACGGGCCTGGAATTCAGGTCGTCTGACTCCTAGGCCAGGCCCGTGAGGTGCTGCTTCCACTGTCTTAGGGCGGGAACCCAGGTGGCTTGTTGTAATGAAGTGTCAAAGTGAGTGACGTGTTTTGTGCTGCGGTTGAGGCAGGAAAGGGCATGTCCTGTGGACGGAGACGTCCGAGGCAGCTGTGTGGAAGAGACCTAGAGAGAGGGAGAAAGGGGGGGGGGTTGCCAGGTGTGGGGGGGTACCTCAGTGTGAGGATGGGCTCCCAGGGGGGGGAGGGGCGGCGGCGGCGGTGGGGGGGGAGGGGGGCGGCCTGGGGGCCGGATTCTACCACCTTCCACGCTGGAGCGCCAGGGTCAAGGTATCGCCTAGGCTGCTGACCCCCTCCCGTCAGAGCTGGCACCTCCCAGCCCCTCACTCATCTCCCCACTTCTCTCCCCAGCTCTTCACGGCCGCCCCCCAAGGCCCTGGCCCCTCCCGTGGCTCCGCCTCCCCCCTCATCATCCTCTTCGTCCTCTTCCTCCTCATCTGCCTCCTCCTCGTCCGCGCAGCTCACCCACCGGCCCCCGACGCCCTCACTGCCCCTGCCTTTGTCCACCCACAGCTTGCCCCCTCCTGGGCTGCGGCCCCCCCCGCCCCCCCACCACCCCTCCTTGTTCTCCCCTGGCCCCGCCCTGCCCCCACCCCCACCCCTGCTGCAGGTGCCAGGGCACCCTGGGGCCTCAGCTGCTAACGCCCTTTCTGGTGAGTGTGGGGTCCTGGCCGGGGTTGGGGGGCGGGGGGGGGGGGGGGGGGGGCGGCGGCCATGGCCCCGGGCTTGGGCCCAGTCGGCTTTGGGGCATCTGGACCTCAACAGATATCAGGGCTTGAGGAGGGAGTGGCTCAAGGCCAGAAGGGAAGGCCGGTGTCCCGTCCCCCCCCCACCCCCCGGGCCCAAGGAGGCTGACCTGGTGGCGCCAGATGTTAAAGCCTTCTCCCCCCTCCCCTCCCACAGAGCAGGACCTGATCGGCCAGGACCTGAACTCTCGCTACCTGAATGCCCAGGGTGGCCCCGAGGTGGTGGGGGCAGGGGGCTCGGCCCGGCCCCTGGCCTTCCAGTTCCACCAGCACAACCACCAGCACCAGCACACCCACCAGCACACCCACCAGCACTTCACCCCTTATCCCCCGGGCCTGCTGCCACCCCACGGCCCCCACATGGTGAGCTCCTCACTGGGCCAGTGATGAGGCCCGGAGACTTGGGGGGAGGGTGTGGCTTCCAGGGGAAGGTCCTGGGTCCCTGGCTGGCAGCTTACTCTTCCCTTCTCTTCCCTAGTTTGAGAAATATCCAGGAAAGATGGAAGGCCTTTTCCGGCATAATGTGAGTGTGGGTGTGTGTGTGTGGTGTGCTGTGTGGTGTGGTGTGGTGTGGTGTGGTGTGTGTGTGGGCACAGACGCATCAAGGTGTGTGGCCCTGACTGTTGGGGTCCAGTCTTCAGCTTCAAAAGCAAGAGCCTTGAGCCTGGGAGAGCTCCCTGGGGGGTTTTAGGGTGGAGGCCCGAGGACTGATGGGCAGACCAGACGTGGGCTGCACCTCCACCCCCGGCTTGGACTAGTCCCCTTCTCTCCACAGCCGTACTCGGCCTTCCCTCCCGCAGTGCCCGGCCTACCTCCGGGCCTCCCGCCGGCTGTCTCCTTTGGCTCCCTGCAGGGGGCCTTCCAGCCCAAGGTGAGCTCCCAATCCAAACACCACCACCTCCCACCCCCTACAAACCCAGACACCACACCCTGCCTCCCTGCCCCCCAGATCCACATACCTCCTTCCATTTCCCAAAGCCATGCCTGTTCTCCTGCCCTCCCCATGTGGACCCAGCTTTCTTCAGAGCCATGCTCCCTCCCTGTCCCAGCCCCCAGCCTTGATTCCAGACCCCTTTTATGCCTGGTGCCAGCTCTCTTGACTGATCCCTCCCCTTTCCCAGAGCACGAACCCCGAGCTGCCACCACGACTGGGGCCAGTGCCAAGCGGGCTTCCCCAAAAGGGGACACAGGTGAGGGGGGGCCAAGGCAGGTCCTGGGGGAACTAGAGTATCTGTTGAGGGAGAGCAAGGTTGATTGAGAGCAAACTCCTGATTGTTGCCTTTAATGTACCATCAGGGGTATCTCTGAGAATCTGACGAGAGGGAATGGCTGTAGATGACAAGGTTTCCCAGGCACGAGGAATAGGAATTTCATGAAGTTGCCCCAGAAATAAGATTACTGGGACAGTGGTTTTTGTGGGAGTGGTTCAAATTTTTTAAGTCACAAAAATCTTTTTTTTTTCTCAAATGACATCATACCAGGAAGTCCTGTCCGTAAAACAATGAAAAGATAAGCTGCCCCTTTGTGAAGTGGCACAGGGAGCAGCTTTCGAGCCCGTGGCTCTGGGAACATCGGGAAAAGCACAGGATGTGTTTTCTAAAGGGGAGACTAGACCAGATATCTTGCAGTGTCTTCTAGCGGCAGTAAAGGTTTTTTTCTAAAGAAATTTTAAGTAGAGCCTCATGACATAAAGCTGTTAATAGGAGAGTTTCTCTCTTTGAGAAACCTGTCCTGCCTGCCCGCTAACCCACTCCCCAGTCTTCCAAGCAGGGCACGTCCTTGGGGTCTGATTCAGGAACTTAGTGCTGGAAGGGAAATGCCCAGAGTGGGAGAGATGGGGAGAGGAGTCTTAACAGGAGCGGGAAAGGCGTGAGGGAGCCACACAAGGTCTCCAGTGTTTGGGTGGGGATTAGGGACTATGGAGATGAGGTGCCCAGGACAGTAAACAGGTCTGAATCGCCACCAATCTCTTGCTTTGCCATCCCCAGATCCCCGACCATTTCCGGCCACCTTTGAGGGTGAGTTTGGTGAGGACCTCAGGCTGCATGAGGCTGGGGGCTGGTGTCAGGGTGTTTGGCTGAGGGCGGGTCTTGCTTGGGAATGAGCGAGAAGCCCAAGACGTGGAGGCAGCCAGATGTGGAACAGCAGAAAGGGCAAGGCTTATATGCCACAGACCTGGGTTCCGACGTAATTGGCTATGGGACCTTGGGCAAGACAGTTTATCTCTCTGAGCCTCAGTTTCCTAGGCCATGAAATGAACCTAGTCATCCCTCAGTTGTAGGGATGATGAATGGGGATGTTGTGTGGAAAGGCTGGGCTGAGGACCAGGCCTGGAGTGGGTGATGAGTGAACGTTCTTTCCTTCCCTTTCCCTTTGGTTATCCTTCTGGGGCGGCAGAAACCAGGGAAGTGGTGTGCCATGCACGTGCGCGTGGCTTACATGATCCTGAGACACCAGGAAAAGATGAAGGTACTGGGGCTGGAGGGCTGGGGCGAGTGGGCTGGCCTGAGCCCTGGGCATCTGCCTTTGGCCGAATCTTGGCCAGAAACATCCCCTCCTGTCCCTGGTCACTGCCTGAGCTCTTTCACAGTAAAGTTAGCATTAGGTTCTCTGGCTAACTAGGGGGGATGGTCCGAGAAGGTGCTGAGAGAGGCGGAGGCTAGGCACCCAAGCCCCATCTTGGCTCCAGCCAGCCCTTGGAGGGGACCTAGGGGTGGAAGAGCAAGAGCGGGACCTCACCTGGCTCCTCACTCACCACCCCTCTCCCTGTCCCACGCAGGGCGACTCCCACAAGCTTGACTTTCGGAACGACCTCCTGCCCTGCCTTCCGGGGCCCTATGGGGCCCTGCCCCCTGGGCAGGAGCTCTCCCACCCGGCCGCCTCCCTCTTCACTGCGACTGGTGAGTCTGGCCAGCCCTCTTGGGGCTTGAGGTTCCCTGTCTCTAGCCCAAGGCCCACCTTGCGCCCACTCAGCCTCATCAGAATCTCCCACCTCTCTGCCCCAGGTGCCGTCCACGCTGCAGCCAACCCTTTCACGGCAGCTCCCGGGGCCCACGGACCCTTTCTGAGCCCCAGCACCCACATTGGTAAGAGCCGAGGGCATGTTGGGCAACCCCAGCCTGGTCCCTGACTTTCAGGCGTTCTCAAGCTGGGGATGGAAATTAGACCAGAGAGGCAGCTGGAATGGGGGTAGGCCTGGTGCCACTTGGTTTGTGACCTTGGACGAGTTACTCTAACCCCTCTGAGCCTTGATCTCATCACCTACGAAATGGGACAGGGCAGGGCAGAGAGACTGCCAGGCTCTGCCGGCTCAGATGCTCTCTGAACTAGACAGCGCTGGGGGTAGTGTGCCACCTGGGCGAGGAGGCTGGAGGAAGGCTGTGCGGGCCCGAGCCGAACGTCGGCACCGGCTCCGGCTCCTAGCAGTCTCAGCGGGCTTTGCAGGGAGATTTCAGCGGGGTCTGGGTCAGCAGGAGGACATGGAGCCTGATGGCGTAGGGAAAGGTGTTCCTGGAAGAGGGAAGTGTGAGGCGTTCCCGTAGTAGAATAAATAAGTTAGTCGTTCGACTGGCTACGGGCATGAGATTAGGGTCAGGTCGGGAAGGGCCCTGCATGTCAGGTGGGCGGAAGCCAGTGGGGATCTTCAGGCGGATGGCTTGCTGTACAGCTGGTCTGGGTGGCTGGTGTGGGGGCTTGTGGGGTTAGAGCTTGATCTCGAGTCACAGAAGCCCTGGCTTGGGGGGTACCACTTACTGGCTAGATGACTGACCGTTGGCAAGTCACTTCACCTCTCTGAGCCTGTTTCGTCATCTTTTAAGTGGGAGCGGTCCTGTCTGCCCCATGGGGCTTGTCGGTTTGTGAGGTTAAACGACACCGTGCGCGTCACAGCTCAGTGTCTTGCGAGGCCCAGGGGAGTGCTCAGCACCCTGTTATTACAACCAAGACCAGGCTGCCGGTGGGGCTCCGGGGCCTTGCTCCTGAGCTGCGTCTTCCCTGCCAGTCTTGGTGCCTTGGTGCCTGCTCAGAGCCAGCAGCCCAGTGCTCTGAACATCCCCCTTTCCTCCCACAGATCCCTTTGGGCGTCCCACAAGCTTCGCCTCCTTGGCTGCCCTCTCCAACGGGGCCTTTGGAGGCCTGGGCAGCCCTACATTCAGTGAGTGCGGGTGGGGCCGGGCGGGGCCGGGCGGGCCGGCGGCTTGGGGGTAGGGGGGTGGGGGGGTGAGGGGGTGGGGTCCCCGAGTGGGGCCTCCTCCTCCTCGCGGCTCCTGTCACTCTCTCCTTACCCCCCTTCGTCCAGACTCCGGCGCCGTGTTTGCCCAGAAAGAAAGCCCAGGGGCCCCACCAGCCTTCGCCTCCCCCCCAGACCCATGGGGCCGCCTGCACCGCAGTCCTCTGGCCTTTCCTGCCTGGGTCCGGCCCCCTGAGGCTGCCCGGACACCAGGCTCAGACAAGGAGCGGCCTGTGGAGCGGAGGGAGCCCTCTCTCCCCAAGGAGGAGAAAGACAGGTGTGCTTGCCCGCCCCGCCCGCCCGCCTGCCCGCCCGCCGGCCGGCGCCCACCGCTGGAGGCCCTCCGTTCTCTCCTCAGGGACCTCCCCTTCTCACGGCCCCAGCTCCGCGTTTCTCCCGCTACTCCCAAGGCCCGGGCTGGCGAGGAAGGGCCCCGGCCGGCCAAGGAGTCCGTGCGGGTAAAGGAAGAGCGGAAGGAGGAGGCCGCTGCCGCTGCCGCTGCCGCCGCCGCCGCTGCCGCTGCCGCCGCCGCTGCCGCCGCCGCCGCCGCCACGGCCGGGCCCCAGGGCCTTCACCTGCTGTTCGAGAGGCCGCGGCCGCCCCCCTTTCTGGGCCCCAGCCCCCCCGAGCGCTGCGCTGGCTTCCTGGAGCCCACCTGGTTGGCAGGGCCGCCTCGCCTGGCCAGGCCACCCCGCTTCTATGAGGCCGGTGAGGAGCTGACGGGCCCCGGGGCCGTGGCGGCTGCCCGCCTCTACGGTCTGGAGCCGGCCCACCCCCTGCTGTACAGCCGCTTGGCGCCCCCGCCGCCGCCGCCGCCACCGCCGCCCACCGCGGCCCCGGGCACCCCTCACCTTCTCAGCAAGACACCCCCAGGAGCCCTTCTGGGCGCACCGCCTCCACTGGTGCCCGCCCCCCGGCCTAGTTCCCCACCGAGGGCCCCTGGCCCAGCCCGGGCTGACAGGTGAGGGGAGGGGAGGGGCGGGGGAGGGGGCAAAGCTCCGTTCCCCCTTTCCTTTTGACAAGGTCCTAGAGCTGAGGTTTCAAGCCAGGGCTGGAGGGCAAAGGTCACGACCTCACCAGCCATCTCTGAGGTCATGGAACCTGGGAGCAGAAGCCCCCACCCCCACAAGACCAAGCATCAGATGGACCTTGGGGTCACTGGGAGGGCAGAGGTCACAAGCCTCTAGAGAGAGGTGTGTGTGTGTGTGTGTGTGTGTGTGTGTACATGAGAGGTGAGAGCGGGGGTCATGTCAGAGGTCATAGCTCGTGACCTCCTGAGGTACACCACCCCCCCCCCGAGGGCCCCTAGGCCCTTGGCCTGCCTCCCCAAGGGCTCACTAAGCCAGAGGCCAAAGTGCCCCCCTCCCCTCACCTACCACCCAAGTCCTCATGCCCTCTCAGGGCTGGGGGAGGAGGGGCTAACGGAAGGGGGGTTCCATGTACATATTTATCTCCCCTTCCACATAGCCCCCCAGACCTTTTGTACATTTTTACAGGGGTGCCCCTCCCAATAATCCCCCTTCCTGGTTAATTAAATCCTCAGACTGGTGCTGTGTTCCTAGCCTCTGGCCTCTCTGTGGGGGGAGGGGGGATTGTAGAGGGAAGAGCTGGGAGGGGACAGGCCGGAACCCAGGGCTTTTATCCCTGGGAATATGGAGTCAGCAGGAGACAGAGCAACTCGGGAAGGGACCTGGGTACCTAGGCTGGAAAGAAGGGCAGATGCTTCCTGCTTGGCTGACAGCCCAGGTCCGCCCCCCCCAACTTGTTCCTGTTACCTCTGTGTGCCACCACCCCCAAAAGGCTCAATCTCTAAGCTTCAGACTCCACCTCTTAGTGGCTCAGTTCTCCCTATTCCATTTCCAAGTGCCCCCAGGACTCCTGGGCCCTGCCCTCCAGAACCCTGTTCCCCAGAACCCTGCCCTAGGCTGGGGAGGCGGGCAGAGAAGGTCACCATGTACCACACACCAAAGAAGGGGGTCGGCCCAGGGGCGGGCCACACAGGCAGCTCCTTCAGCAGCCTCTCGGCGGCAGCCTCAGCCTTCCCAAAGCAGCAGGCACCCCCAGGCTGGGGCCCGACCTAGAAGGCAGGGCTCAGTTTAACAGAAACGTAACGTTGACTTTTTTCCCCGCTGGGGCTTATTCTGTAACATGACTTGCGGATATTTATATAAAAATGAGTGTTACAATGAGGCCCCTTGGCTGCTCTTTCAGTGTGTGTGGGTCATCTGGGGCTGGGGGGGGTACTGGCTCAGGGAGGGATGAGGGAGGACAATACTAGGCATGTCCTGATGAAGGTTCGCCCTCCCTCCCACCTGGGAGAGCTGTTCTTTTACTTGTGGATGATTGGATTGGAGCATTGGGCATTGAAGTTTTTCAGTTTCTACAACCCGTACATATTATACAGGATTCAAACAATACAGAAGAATAGCAAAACTAAATTTCCCGTTTACCTGCCAACCCATGCTAAGCCTTGTGCCTTTCCTGAGGTAACCACTCAGTCGTTTGGTCTATGCTCTTCAGGCCCATTTTTGTGTGTTTACCTACACGTGTGTACATGCATAGTTCTGTTAGAAAAGATGTACGGGTTTTTTTTTTAGAAACTATTGGTTTTTCTTTTATATATGGTCACTATAAAATGAATACAAATACATAGCACAAGGGGAAAGTGCCTTATAATCTCACCCCTCAGAGGTGACCACTACTAATTGTCAGGAATATATCTTTCTCTAGTTATTTTTCTAGCTGTATGCTTCAAATACTGTGAAAAAGATGGGATCCTGTGAGATGTATGATTTTGCAACTACCTTTTTACACTTAACGTTATTTTTTGATGCGGTCATTAAAAACCAAGTGACTAAACTGAGCTAGAGAGGCTGGCTCCCACCCGAGCCGCCCAGAATTGTCCTGTTCCACTGTACGCATCACCTTAGGGAAGATGGCCGCCAACGTTCTCTGCTCCACATGCCCAGGGCCTCTAGGGAAAGCTCAAGCCTTGACTGTTCAAATAGAAATCAGAAACGGTTGACCAGAAGGACATGGCAGTCCTTGTTTTCAGCTTCTTAAGAAAAATCTAAAAATCTGTTGACACTATACCTGCTTTCTCTGTGGCTGCCCCCTTGAGATGGGGCATGATCTCTCCAGATCGCCGCTGTCTCCACTCTTGTTTAGGAAGGAGTCGTCGTCACTACTGAGGTACTTCCCTGGTCCCCGTACACATTTGGATGTGGAACTCTCAGAAGAATACCTCCTAGATACATATACCCAACGTCTCCTAGATCCCCCCAAAAGTAACTTAGATACCCAGTCATCTCCCAGATCAGATGCTGTACCCCCTAGCCCGACCCACTTCCATCTCTGTTATCAGCACCCAAGTCAGAAAGCTCCCTCTTACTTCACTTGATTCACGGTTGGAACTGCGTTGTATTCTTTCTACCACTGTTCTTTTGATCACCCCAGCCACTGACCTCATGGCTGGGGATACAGAGGTAAACAAAAAAAAACCCCAGCTCTCCTGGAGCTTAGGCGCCGGTCCTAGGAGGAGTAACAGCACATGCTTCCAAAAGACAAGGAGGGTGAAGGGCACGACTCGCCAGGGCTGCCTTCTTGGGGCCTGTCCTTAGAACCACTACGCTTCACTGACCCATCTCTGCATGATCTGATCTGAACTCAGGAGCTCCTCAGACAGAGGTAAAAGAGGAATCCAGAAGGACTGAATGCCAGGGAAAGGCAAAACAAAACCAAAATCGTTTCACCATCATGAGGCTGCTATTTGGAAATGCATTTTTTTTTTGTTGTTGTTGTTTTGAATGAACTCAGAAGTGTAGCTGTGTAATCTTAAGCAGTGTGCTTATTTCTGAGCCATGGTTTATTTGTAGAATGGAGAGGTTTTTTTTTAATTTGAAGATCTAATTGACTCTATTAAATGATTCATGGATTGGGCGGCACCCCATCTAGCAAATGGAGAGGTGCTCCTAAAATGGAAGGTTTTTAAACAACTTCACTGAGATAAAATTCACCCCGTCGTTTATGACTGGCTTCTTTCACTTAGCATCCACTTAGCATGATAAGCATTCCTTTTTATTGCCAAACAATACTCCATTATATGGATGTACCACATTGTGTTTATCCATTCTTCAGTTGATGGACATTTAAGTTGTTTCTTTAAAAAAGATTTTATTTATTTTGAGGGTGGGGAGAGAGAGTGCCTGGGGTGGGGGGGCGGTAAGAGCAGAGGGAGGGGGCAAGCTGACTCGGGTGAGCGCAGAGCCTGATGGTGGTGGGGGAGGGGGCTGGATCCCACAACCCTGAGATGACCTGAGCCAAAACCAAGACGCTTAACTGACTGAGCCACCCAGGCGCCCTAGGTAATACCTTTCTGGTTTGAAACTCCAAGAAGCAGATCTTAGAGCTCAATTAAGGAGAATGGCTTACTTACATGAAGTTTATTGGGAAGGCCCATTTTTCAAAACAGACTTTGAGGTGAGGAGCATCTATCATAGGGGCAGAAGAAGTCTGAGCCAGTGAAGAACACAGGTTTAGAGCTGCCTTCATCAGACAGACCAGAGTTTGAGTTGGCCTCCACGAACTAGCTCTGAGACTTTGGTCTTTAGCCTGCTTCCGCTTTTGAAAGAAAATGACAATCCCAGCCCACAGGTTCATTGTGATAGTTACATGCAGGTAGAGGGTACTGAGCACAGAATTGAGTACACAGTGGACATTCACCAAATGAGAGTGTTGTTACTGATTGCAGCGGGAAAGACTATAAACAGGTCCCCTATTTCAGAATGGGTAGGTTGAAGTTCAGAGAACTTTATATGAGGTATGGAGTTAGGAGAAGAAAGGAGACATACACATTTGGGGAGGAGATTAAAAAAATAAACTTGATTATTGTTAAAACATCTTTAGAGGGGCGCCTGGGTGGCTCAGTCGCTTGGGCATCTGCCTTCAGCTTGGGTCGTGGTCTTCATCAGGGCTCTCTGCTCGGCGGGGAGTCTGCTTCTCCCTCTCGCTCTCCCTCTATGCTCTCCCTCTCTCAAATAAATAAAATCTTAAAAAAAAAAAAAAAACGAAAACAGCTTTAGATATACAAAAAAATTGGCAAAGATAGTAAGCGAGTAGAGACTTCCTATATGCCCCGAACTCAGTTTCCTGTATTAACACCTATTAACATCTCACATTTGTTACAATTCATCAATCAGTATTGGTGCATTATTGACTTAAGTCCAACTTTATTCAGATTTCCTTGTTTGTTTTTTTTTAAAGATTTATTTATTTGAGAGAGAAAGAGAGGGAGATTGCACCAGCAGGAAGGGCAGAGGGAGAGAAAATCTCAAACAGCCTCTGCGCTGAGCGAGACCGACCTGGAGATCATGACCTGAGCCAATAACTAAGAGTCGGAAAAAAAAAAAAAGTCGGACGCTTAACGGACTGCATCACCCAGGTGCCCCCAGTTTTACCTAATGTCCTTTGCCTGTTCCAGGATCTTACAAGGACACCACATTACGTTCAGTCATCATGTCTCCTTAGGCTCGTTTTGACCATGACTTTTCTAGACTTTCCCTGTTTTTGATGATCTTGAGTTTTGAGGAGTATTGGTCAGGTATTTTAGAAAATGTCCCTTATTTGGGATTCATACGTTGTTTTTCTTAGGCTATAGTTTTTCTTAGACTAGAGTTATGGGTTTGGGGAGGAAGCAGAGGTAAAGTGCTGTTTTCATCACATAGAGTCAGTGGTACATGCCTTCAAGATGATCCATCCTTGTGGCTGAGGCAGTTCCTGTCAGTTTCCACTGCAAAATTACTCTTTCCCCCTTTTTTGCATATTCTACTCTTTGGAAGGAAGTCACTCTGCAGCCCAGACTGTGGGAATTGGGAAATTATGCTCCACCTCCTTGAGGGCGGAGTATCTACATAAATTACTTGGAATTCTGTTTAGGAAATGTGTCTCTTCACCCTTTATTTATTTATTCAATCATTTATTTATATTAGGATGGATTCATGGATATTTCTTTTCTACTTTAGGTTATACCGCAGTACGATTTTATTTATTACTCCCCGGTTTTCAGTTGGCTCCTGTGTCCCTTTGATTGTGGGGTTTTATTTTGCATTTTTTTTTTTTTTAGCAGAAGCTGATTTTTTTTCTGTTTATCCTTTTGTATCTTTTGGTTTTTGTCTCATGTGCATGTATTATCTGTTCTTAAAAGTTAAAAACTGCCAGTATAATTAACATAAAAAGTTTGTAGCTTATAAAAGAAGGTAGAATAGGGGCACCTGGCTGGCTCAGTCAGAAGAACATGCGACTCTTGATCTTGGGGTCATGAGTTTGAGCCCCACCTGGGGTGTAGAGATGACTTAAATAAAAGTTATTTTTAAAAATTTATTTTTTTTACTTTTTAAAATATTTTATTTATATTTTTAAATTTTTTTTAAAAAGGAGGTGGAGTAAAAAGTCTCCTTCCTTCCCCTGATCACGCCTGCCTTGCTCCATGTCAGCTTTTCAGAGATACCATGTTGATTTCTTGTTTGTGTCTCCAGAACAGTTCTTTTTTTCTTCTTTGAAACAAATATTTACATATTACACACTGTTCTGTATGCTGTTTTTCTCAAGTAACTATCTCTTGCAGGTTATAGCATTCCTTTGTAAGGAATATAATATAATATATTTAACCCATCTCCTAGTGGACATTCATGTTCTTTCCAGTCTTTTACTAGAACAAGGAGTGCTGCAGTGCCTACCCACCTCTTTGTATACCTGAGCAAATAAACCTGCAGGATAAATTTCTAGGCAGAGAATTGCTGAGTCGAAGAGCATAGGCGCTCAAAATTTAGACCCTAAATTGTCCTGCACAAACCTCATGCCAATTGCTAGTTCTCACTCTCACCAAGAACGTAAGAGAGTACCTGTTTCCCCACACCCTTGCTAACCGGAGAACTAACAAGCTTTTTGATCTTTGCCAATCCCACAGGTGAAAGAAGGTGACTCATAGAAGTTTGAATCTGTGTTTCATTATGAGTGAAGCCGAACATCTTGCTGGACATTTACAAATCCTTTGTGTCTTCATTTTCTGTGAATTGCCTTTTCAAACGTCTGCCCATTCCCCTCTCCCCTGCTCTTTGTTTTGTGTGTGTGTGTTTTTTTTAAGATTTATTTATTTATTTTTATTTGAGAGAGAGAGAGAGAAAGCACACACA